GTTGTGAGAGGTGATTGCCAGTACCGTTAAACCTACAACGGTTTGAGTTCCGACCAACATTTATGTCGCTCGGAACCCGTTATAGACGGTTACTGTGACCTTGGAAGATCGGCGACAGGTCAACTGAGGGTCAGCATCCCTGGGCACTGTAGTCCATACCTGTGGGGATGTCCACCGCGGTCATCGGTCAGTTTTTTTCCGTTCAGTAGATTGATACCAGCAGTTCTTTCCGGATCTTAACACTCAGTTGCTCGTGTGTTCATTACTTACCATCCCTGCTGTGGAGTTACCGTCAACCATAAACCTCGTTTTTTCTGTCTTCAACCTTCGTTTGCAATGTGGGCATTAAGTGTATTACGTTACATGTGCATGATAAAGTCCTTTTCAAGGTAGAGCATTCAGCCAGACAGAACCCAGGCCAAGCGTTAAAAACTGCACCGAGTTGCCTCGCTTGTTTAACGTTAGAAATGTAAACACTAAGTTAGCACCAAGAGAGTTAACGTTAGAAATGTAAACACTAAGTTAGCACCAAGACAATAGAAGTTTTAACAGTGTCTACCCAACATTCTCATTTGGTGGCTGTCAAATTGTTTAAACTTGCTGAAGTGTCAAGGTTTATGGGCTTGAAGTTGTTGTGCTACTGACTTATTTTCTGCTCTTTGAAAGATGTTACAGCCTTTTTTGGCGCGAACTATATTTGTTTCAAATTTCTAGAAATCATTATTAACATTTAGTCAGTGGCGGAACTAGAAAAAAAAGGGCCACCTCGCAAAGAAATTTTTTGGGCCCCATATATATATAATACATAATATATATATATATATATATATATATATATATATATATATATATATATATATATATATATATATATATATATATATATATATATATATATATATATATATGAAAATACCAACACAGTATACTCATTTCGGGCTTGTTCGAAAAAAATTTAAAAAATCACTAAAAATACTTAGTTTTTATTAAAAAGTAAAAACAAGTTACGACAGGTCATTTGTGTGACTGCTAACAGTCTGTTTTGTAAATCTCTGTTTTAACATGTTTGCTATGATTCCTCCATGAGTAAGTCGGTCGAAATAATATAAAGCATGAAAGCTGTGTATGTGTAATGATTTCTCGCCTTATGTTTATTTTTATGTTTTTTTTTTCTTATTATATTATTTGTTTTAAATGCATTTCCTTTTTATGCTTTGTTATTCTTTATTATATATTTTTTTAAAATAATAATTAAGAGAAATAATTGCTTTTTAATTTGTTTAGTGCAAATTTATTAAAAGGTGCTTAAGAGCACACATATTTGACTATTTAAAAAAGGAAAATAAGTTATGGAAGGGGTTTGAACAATTGCGTATCTTTCACGCGATGGGTCTATTTTCAAAAGAATTTTGCCGACAACAGCGTGTGTTTGATTGTAGGAGAAAGAGGACTTGAGATGGTGTCTATAGAATAAAGATAATCCAACCGCAGCTACAGTATTCTTTTTACAAAACAACCATGAAGTCAAAAATGAAAGAAGATTTTTTTTTTTTTAACTGTAAAATATTGATAATGGTCGGCTTCGGGCCCCTAAACGTCCCGCGCCCCCCCCCCCCCCCCACAATGTGGGGTTTGGCGGCATTGTAGTTCCGCCCCTGCATTTAGTAATTGATTTTGGGATTCCCAAAACACCCCCCACCCCTCCTACTTTTTAAAAGTCAAAATTAAGAAGAATAGAAATTATATTTTAAAAAAAAACGAGTTAGTAGATTTTAAACAAGCAGGAAATTAATGGCGTAAACTTCGATGTGATACAACAAAATCAATTACAAATACTTTATATGACCTCTTTGGACCATCGTGGTGAACTGTGTGTGAATTTATTTAAGCCTATGTATAACATAACAGACTTTTACAGTTTGTGTTATGTTAGCTAAATGTAACATCCGATTTTAAATCAACGATTATGTTAAGTCGAAGCTGCAACACAGAAATTATACACAATCACATTATAGCGGTTGTTGATTATTTATCCTGAATTATTATAACTAGTTTTTACTTGAGAATACGCGAAATAAATAGGCCTACATGAAATAAATGCACATGCAAACGATTATTCGAGAAAGATAGTTTAAGAAAATGGAAACAACAGGCGATGTAACTTGAACAGAATTTAAAATGTTAATATTTCTTATTATGTCCCTTACATCGACTGCACAATAAAAAAAATTAATAAGAGGAGTCAACTTTAGTCATATGTGATAGTGCGACCTATTAATATGCATATAAATTTGTAATGTGTAATGGTGTCATTCGCTGT